ATCTACAACCGTGGCTTGGTGCTGGCGAGGATTCAGCTGGAGACGGCGAGCTTGGGGCCGCTCAGCGTGCCCTGGGCGGACTGCATGCTGGGCCCTGGGCGAAATGTCACCGCCGGGTCTCCCAGGGTCGATGGGTCGATGGTCTTCAGCAGGCGGCTTTGCAACAGGGGTGGCTCATCCTTTGTTGGGGGACCACCCCCCTTTTGGTGGGTGATGCTCACAGAGAAAGCAGCCTTTTTTGTAAAACAAAGCAATCTTCAAGATTCTTATGCCGGATGGTGGTTCTCCCTTGCTTTTTTCGTCGAAGTTGAACAGCTTACGCTTTGGAGAGACAGGGACAACTGCCCCGAAACCTAGGGCGTTGGAATCCAAAGGGAGGCCAGAACCCCCCCCCAGTTTTCCTGTTGGTTCTCAACAGGGAATGAGAAATGGAATGACCCGAAAAGACTCATCCCTTAGGGTGTCCCTTCAGGGCATCCATTCCCTTCCGGTTCTTTCCCAAACCCTGGGTCGGTCCCTTCCTATCGCAGCAGCCAGCTTTGTGCCCGAGTCGGACAGAAAGCTGAGGTGATGATGGATGCCATGGCCACTGAGTGTGGCGAATGGCGAGGTCAGATACAGATCAAAGCTGCTTGGGTGGCTCGGACCCCGCAAGCGCCCGCAGTTTCTCACGTCGGGAAACATGTGCTAGGGGTTGATGGTTCGAGCCCCACGTCCCAAGTAGGGGTTGATCCCCAAGAGATTGGTAGAAGTGTGGGTTCCATGTGTCCGACAAAGATTCTAGGGGTTGATTCCTGGTCCATTCGTTTCAACCCATCCTTCTTTCCTTAAAAACTGGGCCGCTTTCCCTGGGTGTCAAAGGAGGTTTTCTAAGATTCGGATCCCTGGGCTCAGAATGGAAATGCAAGGTACAGCTCCCTAGAGCTGTGGTCAGCATGAAGCAGCTGAATTCGGAGGCTAGTTTGCTTGGGTTGGCTTGTACAAGCCCATAGGTGAATTTGGTAACACCACAAGTTTTGGAGCTTTTTGACTCGGGCACCCCAATTGGAATGGTCAACAAAAACAAATCCTCGTGTCACCAGACTGAGCAGTGGTCACCTTCCAATTGCTTAAGAATATATTTCTTATTTATTTATTGTCCCTTGTGGGTTTTAAATGGAATTTATCACTACTGGATGTTTTTGTTGTTCTTCTTCTTTTTTTTCCGGAGGTCTTAACCAAATGGAAGTCACCGTTTGCAACCGACCATCCGGGTGCATCAGGCCCGATAATTGGCCTCTTGGCCTTCAAGCCTCCGAAAATTCGAGCGGACTTAAGGAGGGATATGGCTGCCTATTTTATGGCGAGCTCACCGATTGCTCACCATGATAAACGGCCTTTGCTTGGATCCAAATCTTAACTCAGCTTTTGGAATTCTAGTAAGATTGGCAGATATGTGAGTTCTTTTTCATGTTTTTTTTTTTTTTTTTTAATTTTTTTTTTTTTTTTTCTGAGAGTGTCCTTTTGGTTTATTTTGACAAAGGGACACCACCTGGGCATTCCAGAATATGTTGCCAAAAGCAACCGATAGGGAGACGGTTGAAACATATGCAGACTTATCGGCACAACCGCAAGGGCACCATCCGGTAGCCGGCAATACTCCGTTGCTCATGTTGTTTTGTTCTCAAAAAGCCATGTTCCGTTCAAACCAATCCCAACAGCATTATCCTTAAGCCAACTACCCGTGAGGAACGGTCGATTTTCCTTCTGGCCTATTTCCTGGAAACTAAATTTCCTCTGGGTGTAATCCCAGGGTGTAGGCTCAGTTGCCAAGTTGCTGGATTTTCGGGAAGACCACTTTCGTGGCCTATATACACAAAGTGGACTTTTCTTGGACCATCCGCTCGGGAAGTGAGTAATAGACCAGTCCTCAGCTTGGTGGATACCCCTTTTTGTGGGAATTACCCCATTCTGGCCTTTTTTCTGCAAAAACAACCTCTGGGTAACAGAACATATCCTTCGCTCGGATAAATTTGCGGTTTGTTAGCTGCCAAGAGGTGGGCATCTTCGGCGTGAACGAGGAAGAGGCCCGCGTGCCCACCTACCTCTGTGTCAAGGAGGAGCCGAATGATCCAACCGCGACATGAGCCACAATCAAAACCCGGGTAGACGAAGGTAAGGGCGGTAAGGGACGATCCCAAGCATAACTAGCCGCGGATCTCCGCCTTCTTAGTTCTTGAGGCATGTTTCTGGGTCGACCATTTTTGTACAAAGGGTTTTGAGCAAGTGACTCACATGAGAAAGGGTTGCTCTGGGGTCTCCTCCCATTTGGTTTTCGGGACCTTCCAGTCATGGAAGCTGACAGGGGGGTTTGTAAGACCTTTTTTGGTAAGACAACTTTCCTTTTGGGGAAGCCCCCTGTCCACTTCCATGCTTGGAGGGAGGGCATATATTTAATATTTGGGCGTTGGTACCTCGGAATTGGGATGAGTTTTTTTTTTCCGCTTTGCAATTAGATTGGTTTAAACGTAACGAAGCTCTACGCATAGCGAGTCGCGAGAAAGTATCTGGGACATCGGTGTTGGGTGACCCCTCATTTGGCTTGCAAGTTGATGAGTGTCGTTTTGTGGCTGTCCCCTTTTGGTTTTCTGTGGGAATGGCGACGGTTGTTATGTGTGAACAGGCACACTCTTAGCAAGTGGTTGGTATGATCTAACAAGTGGTATAATGAAATCATCGGGAATAAGCAGGCAAACTTCGCTTTGCTTGGTTTCAGCCAGCTTTTGTTGGCGGACACGTTTTCCACAGGAGACGCTATTTGAAGTGAAGCCCAAAGTAAGAATCGTTGGACAGTTGGCGTGGTGGGATTTTGAAGCCTACCAAGCCACCAACAAACATCCTACCTACTAACCTACCAACCTACCAACCTGCATTACCTGCCGACCTACCGACCGACCTACCAACCTACCAACCCACCAACTTCGTCGGCTGCGACGAAACGAGCGGGCCGAAGGATTTGTCCGCCGCCTGCCTCCTGCCGGCCCACGCGTGTCGGCCCTTCCGACCGGACAGCGCCAACCGCATCCGCATCGACCCCACGAGCTCCTTGGCAAGCCTGGGTGGTCAGTCAGTTGGTAGGTAGGCAGGTAGGTTGGTTGGTAGGTTGGAAGGTAGGTGGGAAAGTAGGTTGGCAGGTTGTTAAGTCGGCAGTTGGCAGGTAGGTAATCAGGTAGGTAATTAGGCATGTAGGAAGGAAGGTAGGTAGGTAGGTAGGTAGGTTGGTTGATTGGTTGGCAGGCTGGTAGGTTAGTAGGTTGGTAGGTTGGTGTGTGGGTAGGTTGGTGTGTGGATAGGTTGGTAGGTAGGCAGGTAGTGGTAAGTTGGTAGTTTGGTATATTGGTAGGTTGGTAGGTAGATAGGTTGGAAGGTTGGTGGGTTGGTAGGTTGATTGATAGTTTGGTAGTTTAGTAGTTTGGTAGGTTAGGTTAGTGGGTAGGTACGTAGGTGGGTAGTTGGTCGCCGGTTAGTAGGCAAGTTGCTTGGTTGGTTGGTTGGTTGGTTGGTTGGTTGGTTGGTTGGTTGGTTGGTTAGTTGGTTGGTTGGTTGGTTGGTTGGTTGGTTGGTTGGTTGGTTGGTTGGTTGCTTGCTTGCTTGGTTGGTTGGTTGGTTGGTTGGTTGGTTGGTTGGTTGGTTGGTTGGTTGCAAGCTAGCTCCGTAGGTAGGTAGGTCGGTACGTCGGTAGGTTAATAGGTTAATCGATTAATAGGTCGACAGATCGACAAATTAATAGGTTGATAGGTTGGTAGCTGGATTGGTATCTCAGTAGGTTGGTTGGCAGGTTGGTCGGTATAGGTTTGTTTGTTTGTTGCTTGCATTAGCTTGTTGTTTGGAGGTAACCGGTTCGTGACCCCTTCAAACCATATCCTCAATGGGCAACGCACAGGGCAAACTAATTACTTACATGGTGACATGTTCTCTTATGATCATGACTTGATGCTAATTTAAACTACCCCACTCCATTCCTTTTGCCCTCCGGGCAAACATAGACCCCTTTCAGAGGAACTGGTCTTCCGCTAGTTCCTGTCAGCTTCCATGCTTTTTAGAGGGTAATTCTAGACAACGGTTTGGATGCGCGTTTTGTGGCTTTCACATGTTCTTCCCCTGTTCTTTCTTTTTGTTCCAAATATTTTAGTCTTATTTTCACATCCTACAGGGGTGGATCCACGGATTCGCCCACATCCACTCCTGTTTTCTAGGCAAGTCTGGGCAGGTATAGGTTGGTAGGGCGGTAAGTAGGTTGTTAGGTTGGTGGGTTGGTTGGTAGGCAGGTAGGTTGGTAGGTTGGCTTCCATTAGGGTAATTTTCCTGTTGTCCGATCCGAGGCTTGCATGCGCGACAGCTTCGCGCGCCTTCCCCTCACAAAAGGCCCAATAGCTCCTCCTCGGTGCCTTTGGATGCACCGAAAATGGGGGCATCGGACTTCCTGAGAGGTTTTTTTGCCTAGACAGAAAGCTAGAAGGTCTCTGCTCAGATAGGCTCTGGGGTGGTTTGGGGCACCTTTCAGTTCCGGAGAGTTCCAGGGGGTGCGGGGGCTGTTGATTACCCATAGACTGAAATCAGGCTGCCTGTTGAAGGGAAATCGCCCGCCAGAAAGGATCAATGTTGGTTTCCCCATGAAACCACTATTTGGGGGTAAAGGATGTCATTTTAGTTGACCCGATTCGACGGTTTCTGTGGGTGAAGGTCAATGTGCTTTGGTTTGCTTTAACCTATCATTGCGAAGGTAACTTAGATGATTTTTGCGGATAGGTAATAGCCCAGCGACTTGCCCCTGGAGAATTGGGGATTCTTCCATTGAGGTTCCTCACATGGCTCCTAGGGAATTTCTGTTGTTTGGCGACATGGTGAGACCGGTGTGTTTGCTCAGCTGGGACACCTGGACTCTTTTGTGGCAAGATGTAAATCTCAAGATCATTTCTCACGTGCGCAGCTGGCCCATCTTCCATGAACGCTCTGAATGCGCCAGTCGCGATAGCCTCCCACAGAGCTGGATTGCGTGGTACGCTTGCCTGCTGCTATTTGCAATGGCGCACCCATTTTTTTCTGGCGACAGAGAGCAAGGCGTTGCCGCTTAGACGTTAAGTACAAAAGATCAGGGGGCAAGTTGCATGGGGGTGTCGGGCTTTGGCTGCGGCCTTTGCTCTGGCTTTGCCTTGGCACCTGCGCGAGCTGCTAGCTACCCCTACCTACCTGGCCCACAGGCTGTCGCATTCCGCTGACTGACAGACTGTTGGCGTCGCAGAGATTCGGTCAAACATGGGGAAGAGGGCTCCCCAAAAGGACATCCCGCCAACGACTTTGCTGGGCCAAGCCCAAACAAAGCGAGTGCACCGGGAACAACTAAAACAAGAACCAACAGCAACCAACAACAAACAACGCCACACCGCAAGCAACAAACAGCCGCACCCCGCACAGCTGCGGGTTTTTGCGGCGATTTCCCCCATTCTGCGCGAGGATGCTCAAAGTTTCTTCTGGCTTTTTGGTGGTTTTGCCTGGAAATGGATCCAATGGCAAAGTCGCCCATACCTCCATTTGCTTGTTTGGCCAATACTGTGGATGGACGAAATCCTGCACCACTTGGAAACAATGGGAAACCATTGTTTGCTGGTATTTACAGGGGGAATCATCATTCTAGGGCTTCTTAGATGATGCAGGATTTCGTCCATCCACAGTAGGAAAACACGAAAACATGAATCCACTTGTGAGAGATTCCCTTAAAACCAACATGCCAATCGGGCACTTTGCCATTGGCCACGAGGAAAACCAGGTAAAAATATATGCTTCAACGTGTGAGAGATTCCCTAAAAACAAGAAACAAACGCAAATCGGAGGTCAAAAAGCTGTGAATCATGGCAATCGGAGGTCAAAAAACATCAATAGGAAAGCCATGTAAAAAAACTCATGCTCCAACGCGTTTTTGTGGTTTTTGTTTTTCCTCCCCGAGGCGAGCCGCGCGAGCTCGGCCAAGCCGGAGCGCCCGGGCAGCTCGCGCACGGAGAACACCACGGTGCCCGGCTCCCGGCCGCTGAGCGCTTTGGGGCCGCCCAGCTCCCGCCCCTCGGAGAGAAAGACGCGGAGAGAATTTCGCGGAGAGACTCGGACGGGGCAGTTGGGAATGAAAAAGGAGGTGGTACACATCTGGCCCATTTGCGTTGGTTTCTTGTTGTTTTGAGGGAAAATATCTCACACGTTGAAGCATATATTTTTACCTGGTTTTCCTAGTGGCCAATGGCAAAGTCCCCGATTGGCATGTTGGTTTGAAGGAAATCTCTCAGTGGATTCAGGGATTTTCGTTGTTTCCTACTGTGGATGGTTGCGAAATCCATTTCGCATCATCCAAGAAACCCTAGGATGAGTCGATTCCCCTGCAAATACCAAGAAACAATGGTTTTTCATGGTTTCAAAGCGGTGCAGGATTTCGTCCATCCACAGTATGGCTCATGGATTTCAAAAAGCCTTTGAATTTGAGGTACGTATGGTACATATGAGTGGATTTTGAATATGAATAGCAAGCTAAACAAACACATACCACCATGTACACTGCACGAGTGGTACGCGAATACATGGCCATGGGTCAAAATCCAAAGCCCGGTTAGCCCCCAGTGATTACATCAACCAATCCAACCACTAAAATAGGTTCTAACATGGGTGGTGAATTCACCTACCAACCAAAATGGAATCCCATTGGTTTTGACCCACAGCCATTTCCCTTTTTGAAACCTCCAAGAGTGGCGATCGTTCAAGGAGAGCCACCAGTAACTTGGTGCATTTTGTCAAGGGATGTTCGGACTGAACAACTTTCTGCCAACGAATGGGAGTTTTCCCCATTAAACCACTAAAAGTTAGTCACTTTTAGCAGGGGAGCAGATTTCGCAACCGAGAAGAGGCTGGATTTGGGCGAGTTTGATTGGCCAAGTAGGTGGTTGCTTGCTGGCTTCCATCTATCCGGTTCCTTCGCATTTTATTTATTTTATTTTATTTTGAGGGGGGGCTCCCAGCCATTCTAGGGTTTTGGGGGGGGGTCCCACAACTTTTCGCAGGGAGCTGGGGATCTGAGGGCCCAGGTTGGTAGGTTGGTAACCTGGGTTACCATGGGTGTCCTTTTTAGGTTAGTTTGATGAAAAATAGATGGCACTGGTTTAGGTGGGGTTTCTTCCATTTACCAGGGCCATCTATTTTCCCAAAAGGCCGCTTTTGTAGGTTACCCATTTTGAGTCTCCCCGTTCGGGGTGAACCTTATATGTGGTTGATAAGTAGCTCAGGGAATCGAGCAAAGTAGGGATCGATTGGAACCCATAGACTCAAACCTGGGGTTGGACTTCACAAGGGAAGCCCCTGGTTTGAAGCCTTTCAGTGTGTGTCAGGGACCCTCCACGCAAAATGTCGGTTGAATTCCCTTTGAAGACGGTGGTTCGCTATTTGAAGACGCACGCACGGGGGCTCTACCTGTCCCTCCACGGAACACAGGAGGGTTTTGCAAGACTGCCATCTTCAAAAAGCTTGTCCACTTCCATGAACCTTGGACATTTCGAGCAGACAGCAGATGAGTGAGATGGGTTCAGCACCTGGTTTCTTGCACGGATCCCGTTTTGCCCAGTTTGCACCTCATCTTTTGATGATGTCTTTGCTCCAGAGTCATTGGCATGCGTTTGGATCACTTGGAGGTCCAGAACGAAATTGCAGCACGGTGTCCTATTTATTTCGCCTTAAACAGTGGAAATTAGCTGCTTCAAACATCATGTTTGCCTGACAATTTCAAGCAAGTTTCCCTTAAGTGGGCTTATGTTTCAGGGGAAATAAGAAGAAACCTTTTTATGTTGCCAGGCTTTGCATACCTGTTTGACTTGTGTTTGTTTGCTTTTCTTCTTTTCCCTTTCAATTGGCTCAACGTCGGCTTTTTGCAGGGTTCTAAGTCTGGCCCAGTCAAGCGACCCTTTCAAAAGCTTCCCCTCCGTGGCTAAATAGCCCGTTGTGATTCCCCTGAAAGGAACCCAAACATCGACAGGCAATTTGCACTTGTCCCCAACTCTACTCAACATCCGACGCAAAGATGTGAGTAGCTTTTTTGCAATCTTCACAAACAAAACCCTGGAACCCCTCCTCCCCATCCTCTCCCCGCCGATTTTTTTCCGCCTCCAGTCGCCTTCCAGGCTGCACCGGCAGCGCGGTGCCCACGTCGCGCTCGGCGCGGTCCGGCGTGCGCGGCGTGAAGGCCCTGCCCCAGGACCGACGGCGCGGCGGCGTGGTTGTGAGGCTCGGTACCCGCCCCCGCAAATTTTCACATCCACCAAAACAAATCCGAATGTACGAGGAATTGTTTTTTGGATCCGGCCCCTTTGGGTTCCGTGTTACTTTTCTGGGGGAACCCACTCCTGGGTTTGCAGTTTTCGGGCTGCTGGAGGGTTCCAAGCAGGTTGTGAGAGGGTTCCAGGCTAAGGGAAATCTAGGGTGGCTGAAGTCATACATGGGTGGCTGCAGGCATACATGTCGGCGATGAATGCCACATCTACCAGCCTTGTAGATTCTTCCAGGAAGCTCCGCGTTCTAGAGCTGCAAACTGCTGAATTCTTGCAAAGAATCCCACGGGGTTTTTGAAACTTGCCAAACAAACAGTTTTGGGTGGTCCATGGTTGGGGCTATTAAAGTCGGAAATGTTTCTGTTTCCCTTTGTGTCGACTTTGGATTGGAGGATCATTCTATTCAGGGCTCGTTCCTGATTTTTGGGAAGTTATTCGCTTTTGGCGGATTCCTTTGATTAGTATGGTTGTTCGGACACATGGGCTGGTTCCTTGGTTCCCTTCGCCCCGAAAAAGGTATGCAAGCATGGCATCCTTAATGTTTTGGTCTGCTGTACTGTCTGTCAACCTTTGTGGTGCATGTAGCATCAAATGGGCGCTTCTTCAGTTGGCGAAGAGCAGGGTCGAGTGCCATCCATTGGGTTTCCATCTCAATGAGAATATGGGTGCGGGTCAAAATAGGTCCCCAAAATGGCTTGCCCCGGCAAATGGAACCCAGGACTAAAATTCCCGCGGTCTAATTCCTTGCGGATTAATTGTGACCCGTACCCATATCCCACATCAGCTGCAGGGGCTCGTCGGTTTAAGGTAGGCTTCCATTGCTCTGGTTGCTCTGGGGGTCATCTGAGCTTTGATGGTTCCATGGCTAAGCAGTGGTGTCCATGGCTAAGCAGCTGCAAGGCAGAAGGACGCAAAGGAAAACGGGGCTGGCTTGTGCCAAGCCTACTTTTGCTTGATATCAGTGCTTAAATGAGGAGTGGCTCCATCATTTTCAGGCGCATCTGCACTTAGAACTACCACTGCCGTGTGAATGCCTTGCGGCCGCAACTGCCCTCTGCGGTTGGCGCTCTGTTCTGGGCCTGATGTCGCACCCGGCTCCTGGTTGGGAAATACTGGGGCTGGTATCACCGGAAAATGCCAGTTCGTGAACTCGCTTGGGCTTAGAGAGGATCGCTGGGGTGCGGATTTCGGCACATATGGGTTTGTCTCTAAATCAGGAATGCCCCGCCCCAAAAAAACGTTGGTTTGCTTTTGTTCTGTTTAACTCCCGGCCCCCCAAAGAAGCCTGAATATGCCCACCCACAAGTTGATGTTTGCATCCAATGATTGCCATGGTTCACACCTTATGGGTATGAACATATGATCTTTCCATTTGCGTATGTTTTGTGGTTGTTTTGAGGGATTGTTTTCACAAGTTGAATCATATGTTTACACGTTTTCCCTTGGCCAAAAAAGCAAATGGAAGTAAGGGCTACTTTCCCATTGGATTAAAAATCAAACACGGGCAACAGGTGGACTTTTGAGAATCCTTGCGCAGAACGGGGGCGGACTTCCCATGGGTCAAATCCAAATCGTACCCTTTGTGAACATCCCAATCCAACCACGAAAATAGGTTCTAAGATGGGTGGAGAATTCACCCATCAAGCAAAATGGGATCCCAAAACGGTTTTGACCACAGCCACAGGACGACCCGGACGCCCGGAAGCTGCGGCCTCGCTCCGCACCGTCGGGACCGGGGCTGCCAAAGGTGCCCAAGGCGGGGAAGAAAATCCGCCAGCGCCGAGCCGCCGAGCCGCCGCCCAGGCTTCTTACTCACTCCCTGGCTTCCATTTGCTGAAATTAATATGTCTTTTTTTTTCTCCCTGTCATTTGCTGAAATGAATATGTCTTATTTCCCCTGTCATTTGCTGAAATTAATATGTCTTTTTTTTTCTCCCCGTCATTTGCTGAAATGAATATGTCTTATTTTCCCCTGTCATTTGCTGAAATGAATATTTCTTATTTTCCCCTAGGCCTGTCATTTGCTGAAATGAATATGTCTTATTTTCCCCTGTCATTTGCTGAAATTAATATGTTCTTTTTTTCTCCCCGTCATTTGCTGAAGTGACTATTTCTTATTTTCCCCTGTCATTTGCTGAAATGAATATTTCTTATTTTCCCCTAGGCCTGTCATTTGCTGAAATGAATATGTCTTATTTTCCCTGTCATTTGCTGAAATTAATATGTTCTTTTTTTCTCCCCGTCATTTGCTGAAGTGACTATTTCTCATTTTCCCCTGTCATTTGCTGAAATGAATATTTCTTATTTTCCCCTAGGCCTGTCATTTGCTGAAATGAATATGTCTTATGTTCCCCTGTTATTTGCTGAAATTAATATGTTCTTATTTTCTCCCCTGTCATTTGCTGAAATGAATATGTATTATGTTCTCCTGTCATTTGCTGAAATGAATATGTCTTATTTTCCCCTGTCATTTGCTGAAATTAATATGCTCTTTTTTTCTCCCCGTCATTTGCTGAAGTGACTATTTCTTATTTTCCCCTGTCATTTGCTGAAATGAATATTTCTTATTTCCCCCTAGGCCTGTCATTTGCTGAAATGAATATGTATTATTTTCCCCTGTCATTTGCTGAAATGAATATTTATTATTTTCTCCCCGTCATTTGCTGAAATGAATATGTCTTATTTTGGTTTTTAAGGGACTCGATATCACTACTGGGAAGTATTTTTTTCCAGGGGACTTAAGCAAATGGAGGCTGGGTTCCTGGACTTGAGTCACGTTTTTGGGAAGCCCATTTTAGAGGTACTGAGCATGTTGGGACTCTTCTTTTGTTTTGGCCAATTCACTGAGGAAGTAAGCTGTAGCCCAAGGGGCCTCAGTTGTGGCTCACTTGGCCAAAGCCGACCTTTTGAACTTTGGGTTTTTCCACTTTGGTCCATGTTTTTTTAAAGGTGTCAGAAGGTAAACCTTCTATTTCTGGCCCTTTAGGGGGTGGAAGCAACGCCAAAAGTCTGAGAATGTAGGCTGTCGGCATCTCTCACAGTTGGTTAGTGCAGTTTACCCCCTGGTTCCCTTCTTGTTTGGTGGGTGTCCCACTCAAAAACGCCTATTACCTGACTGCCCCAAGGAAAACTCAGCCCCAACGCAGGCTCCACTTCCTTTTTCCACCCGAGTCACCTGGGCAGGGAATGGGAAGACAAAACTGCGCCAGGCCGAGAAGCGCCCGTCCTCTGCGGCGGAGGCGCGGGGAGTCTTCGTGATAGCTTCCCCTTCAGGGAGTGGATTGGAACCCCAGACTGAAAGTTGTCTTTGCCTGCCAAAACCATTCCCTTCCACAAATTTGTTTAAAGGACGACGACCAAAGGAGTTGATCAAGTTTTGTTTAGACGGCTGTCACACCTCACACACCGATGGATAGGGATGAGTTGGAACCCTAGCCGTCTTTTTATAGTTTAAATGGGGGTTGTTCAAGAGGTCCGTAATGCATGGGATGAGCATTGGTTGGAAGATCACCAAAAAGATTCGATATGTGAACCACTAAATGGGGACAAGTGCAGCTCTGGTCATTTGAAATGGGGCCGAAGGGACTATTTCTCCACCATGTGGAGCTTCCACTTCGGGGATTAGGAATCGATTGAGTCCGAACCCCCGTTTCCGTTGTTCGTCTAAATCCAACGTCTTTGGGCTCATAGATTCCAAAATTCTCTAAATCCAACGTCTTTTTCCTCGGAGATCAGGAGTCCTACTTCTTTGGGCTCCAGCCGCTTCGTTTCCACCTGGATCGTTCTTTTCCTTTCCTTTCGCTCCAGCAGCTCCAGGAAATCCGCCGGTCTCGGGTTTTTTGAGGCGGCGTCCAAGCGGTCAGCATGACGTTGAGCATCATGAGTCAACGGAAACCGGTGGGGTCAACCGGTTTTTCAGGTTAGGCATGTTAGGCGATTCAGGAATCAAGCAGTCAACATCAAGTTCCGCACGGAGAGCTTACTGTCAAGCCCAGCGAGCCCAGCGGCGGCAGACTGCATCCACCAAAGGGTTTTCAGTGTGGATTTTGATCCATCCCTGAAATCCCTTCAACTGCTTGGCGATTTTTTTCCTTTCAAGGGTGACTCAGGGCCCGGGACCTCGCTTCACCTGTTGATACCTGGACAGAATACGTGAGAGTGAGTCATTGGGGAGGCCTATGGTTTCCGAGTGCTGATCCTCGGAAGCAGAGACAGATTCTGTACTTGATGGCTTAAGTGTTTTTTTGCCTGCAACATTTTTCCGGAATAGAAAAGTCGGGATCCCCAAAACCCTCCGCCAGGGACATGCATTCGTGTGAAATCCGCCTCAGAGGACTGGACAGTCAACTCAGTTCCCCGCAACAAACAGTTGAATATGTGTCTTACTTTTGAATTAGTTTGATGCCATGCTTTTGAGAGAACCCGCGCCCCAACCCTGTTCTCTTTCATTTACACAAGCGCAAGTATAATTAGAACATAGCAACACTATTTTCTAGTTATAAATAGTAATGGTTGAAGAGATAATTGAGAATATAGAAGCCCTGATTGATGACGCTTCGGACGAAGTCCTCGCGAGCATTCGCGACGACACTAAATTTCCTGTGCTTGAAGATGGTAAGATAAAAATGTTATTCAAGATGATTTTGGAATTTATCAAATGTTTTATTCATTATCTAATCAATAATATAAAGGATGCCTCCGAAAAAGAAAAGCAGTAAATCCAAAAAACCTATTCCAGAGGATTTTGAACTGTCTGATGATGAGCCCAAAATGGTAAGTTTAAGTCAGGAACAAAAACTAACAAGCAAAACAATATCATTTTTGATTGCCCTTTATGTCAGGGAAAATTACAGTTGAGGAACGAAAATGAAATCAACCCCAAAGACATAACCTGTCGTTGTAATCCGTGTAGTTTTAAACTGACTAAAAATGATACGACTATGAATGTCAGTAAGGATGATGAAGGGGGGATTACATTGGATAGTCAAGACCACAGCATCTCGTTTGCTTTCAATCGAATTACTACTCCTCCAACAGAAGATGAAAGATAATTGTTGACCAAAAGATAAAATCCATGAAGAAAGAAGTAAAAAGAAGGCCATCATATTTATTATCTTTGTGTGTTTGGTGTCTCCGGAAGTTACAGAAGGAACAGATTCTTAGAGGTGAGTGCCATTCCTTTCGTTCTAATGCGTTTACTATCTTTCCTGGCATTATTAATATCCTCAATTTGAAGAAGATGGCATGGGATCTACAGGAACAATGATATGATAAGATATGTTATGAATACACCACGGTACAGCACAAAACAGATGATGTCTGAAATGGATTGAAACGAAACCATGTAAAGAGTAGTTTTTCTATCAACTCCAACTCATAAATAGACAATTAAATAATTTAATTTCTAAATAAATAAATAAATAGTAATGTCAAGTGGAGATGAGAGCAAGACTGAAATGAAAGAGTTCCTGGATAAATTCAACAAATACGCTAAACAGGTGAAAGTGGTTCTGACGAAACTTGAAGAAATTGACAAGAAAGTAGGACAAAACTATTACTATTTAGATGATGATAAGAGGGGTTATTTACGCCACGAATTGTGAAAGGTGTAAGGCTTGTTCATGCTGATGTGTTGTTTCTTCCAGTGCTTGCCATCACTGTCGTTAAGGCTCAACAATATCAAACTGCACTGCGCTGATGCTTCAAGTAAGATCATGATTCAAAGTCAGGAGGAGTCAGAGCTGTTGCAGGAATACGAGCTGTTGCTTTTCCTTGTCGTTGTGCGTTAATTCAGCCATGGCCGTTGCAATCCCGAGCACGAAGAGACGGAAATTGTCAGAAATACAATGTGAAGATGTGCCAAACTGGATTCTGCATTACCCAACCACAACCCGTTTCTCGGCAAAGATTGGTTTCAGTTGTTGCCCGAGTTCGTTGTGTTTTGTTTCTCGTTGATGTGAGACAGCGTTTATGTTTCTGTGGCTGCTTTGCTTGGTTTCAGGTTCAGAGCGATGTTCCCGAGAATGTCAAGGCCTTCGCACGAGCTTTGGATGATGCAGAGCTGGAAGGGCAAATTCTCAGAACGGAAACGGGCAGTTTCAAGTTAGAACAGGACTCTGAAATTTGGGACGAAAAGCAGTTCTACGTGCGGGACTGCTACAAAGAGATTGCCGACATCATGTTGAAGAAAAACCTCATAGGATGTCTTTGCTGGGCTCGTCTGGGATCGGCAAGTCCAATTTTATGGTATATTTAATCTGGCGTCGCTTCCAAGACAGTGAGCTTAAAGACTTCCCTGTTTTTCTGCACCAGAGGGACGACATCTTTCGGTTTAAGAAGGGCGAAGAGCCGAAGCTGGTGGATGTCAGGACCTTGAAGTCGATCCTTCCAAAAGCTTTGTGTATCATGGATGCCGACATTGATGTGGAACATGGGGTCTTTTGCCAGTCTTTGTGGATTACCTCTGCGCGGAGGCCGGAGACAGCGGCTTGCAACACCGAGCATTTCAAGAAGGCCAAGAACGAAGGAGGACAGTTCTTTATGCCACCATGGACGTGGCAGGAGATCTTGAGTGACAAAGTCGTGGCTGTACACAACCTGAATAAGGAGGTTGTCGAGGAACGCTTCGGTATCTTTGGTGGCACTGCGAGGCTTGTTTTGCGAAGGGATGAAGAAGCGGCATTCAATGACAAGGCCGAGCTGGTTGCGGCAGTGCAGTCCGGAGATGCCCTGCAATGTCTGACAGTATCGTTTGACATGAAAGTCATAAGCAAGATGACGCATTTGCTGGTGAAGATGCACCCAATGCGGAATTTTAGCTGGTTTGATGTGCAGTTGTCGTCTCCCTATGTTCGGCAAGAGCTGGTGAAGCGAAACAGAGCAAAACGAGCCCAAGCTCTTTGGGATCGTATTGATGATGGGATGATTACGGGCATCAGTTTTGCATTGTTTGAGGAAGAGTCCCACCAGTTCATGCAGGACAAGTCCATCGGCAAGTTCAAGCTCCAAGCCAGATGCTTGACCGCTGACGGGCAGGGGTCTGATACAACACAGGAACTCCAAGGTGGTCTTGAAGGAGTGCTGATTTCGGGCAATCCCGCAGCAGACATCAAGGATGGCGAATACTACCAGCCGCAAGCAAAACTTTCCTGCCTTTGACTCATGGACCTCACAGGGCGTTTTTCAGCTGATGATTGCCGATACACATGACATCACCTTCAATGACAGTGGCAAGGCAATGGACGTGACGAAGACGCAGGCGTATAAGATTGTGGATGCACTTTGCAAGCATGACAGCAAACGTTCCGCAGTTTGAGTTTGATAAGTGGAAGACTGTGCAGAGCTTGAAGCAGCTAGAGATGGCTGAGAAGATTGAGCAATGGGTCGTGTGCTTTGAACAGAACCTTCCGAAGTGAAGTGGAGCAGCGCGCTCGTGACCAAAATGAGGAAAGTCCGACATCCCCCAGTTCGGGGTTATTGGTTTTTGGGTTTTTTCCATTAGGGTCTTACCCCACACCTCATTAGGATATTGGTTGTAGAATGGACAAGGTTATGGGGTTGGGAGGTTCTTATGGTTTTGGGTTATGGTTTCGATTACTCGCAGAAACGAAGCCTGCGAGGGGAAAATTTTGGAAGACGCAGGCGACTCTTCACAGCGCCTCCAGAGATATTGCGCATGTTAAGGCACCTCTTCTTTTTTGGATAGCTGAAATCCACAGTTTCCCCGAAGTGAGAACTTGAAGGCGCCCAAGTCATTTGAGGTGAATTTTGGGGCTGACGGGGCTAGAAGCGAGGCCACGTCGCTTTTGGGGCAGTTGTGGGTCCCTTGGCGCTCTTTCAATACGCATCCAACCGGAGGTCCAAGCAATTTTAGTCGCCACCCGGAATTGTTTGATGGTTTTCCAGGTCCCCCAGTGCCCGTTTACCCTTTTTGGGGGATGCACAGGTACGCGGGAGCCTTTGAGAAGGCGCTTTAATACCTCGACTGGAGCGAAGTCAGGAGCCTTCCGCTTCGAATTCAGTGCTGGTGCACTTGCGCCTCATGGAGGTGGCTTTGCAAAATGCCCATCTCTGCATTTGAAGGGCGCCTGAAGAATGTGGAAGCGCCATGTTCAGTTTACTCCGAGTGGGTGACATTCCCCCAAAAGTCCCGAAACTTTGTGTAAAACACTTAGGGTTTCCCATACCACGCGCCAACCTTTGGTCGGGGTCTCCAAAGAACCTATTGGGATCCTCAGGGTTGTCACATGTCACCAAGGAAGATCTACGTTGAAATAGGAGCAGCCGGACGGCTACTCTATTTTGGTGCTTTCCAGGGCCTCAAGGCCAGTCAAATGTGTCCGATAGGTTTCTTCATGGTTTTTCCAAAAGAGCCCGTTAACGGGGAAGTTTCGGGCCCAATAAGGGTTTGTCCGCCAAACCAATATGAGATCCGCTGCCTTTGGCACTTCCAGGAGGGAGGTTGTCAAATGTTGACGCCATAGTAGTCAACCCCAGTTAAACATTAGGGGGGTGTTTCTGGTTTTGGTGGATATTTATCACTTTATGGAGGGGAACGCCCCCTATTAATAAACAGGCCAGCATATTTTGAGTACCCTCCAATGAAGGGCACTTGACGTGAATTTGAATCGAGGGCACTTGAGGCCGTGTCTGTGGCCGAAGTAGCCCTTGGATTCGTTTGCTAAGTGCCCTTTTTGGCTTGATGGGGGTCGGGATTCTGTGGAAATCGAACAGCTACCCGTGTCGAACTGTGACAACTGCCACATTTGATTGGGGCCGACCCGGAAAGCCCGAACATGGCGTTTTGAGTGTCAAAGCGTGGCATTTGAGTGTCAGTGGTGCGAATCGAGGTCACTTACCCCTTGAAAAGGTCACTTACGCTATCGTCGGTCCCTGCGTGAGTGTTAGTCACGTGTCGCTGCTCGATTTGCCCGGACTGAGGAGGGATCTGCTGGGGAGGGCAACCCTGACGGTCTAAGTGCCCTCTAAATGGCTTAAGTGACCTCTTCGATTTAAGACTAAGTGCCCATATTTTCAAAATGAATTATAGCACCCAAAAACTGAATCGAGGGCACTGAAAAGAAGCTGGGGGGTTGATTTATCCGGGGTCAAGATTACATGAGTCTGCCAAAACTTCACCGCCTAAGGGAATGACATGGTGACCCACCAAGATCGATCATGTGTTTGATGATCGGCATTCGCATATTTCACATGGTCCCTGCAGGGAATTCTGTGTTGGGCAAATACCTCTTGAGAAAGCTAGAGGTTTGGACAGTTTCCTGTAGTATCTTCTGCAAGCTCGTTTCTTTTGAAGTTGCCTGGCATTTTGCGCATAAGTTTGTGGGAGGCGCAATTCAAATGCTGAGGTAGATTGATCAAAGCTCACACAGGCTAGGCAAACAATTGCAACATGCACCGCTTGGCTGAAACATGCGGCCAGCTGCATGTAGAATGTTTCTTCGGATTGACTCCCTCCTGATTGACAGAAGCTGTGTCGGGCTCTCAAATGATTGGACACTCGTTTCGAGTTGTTTAGAATGTTGTTCATCTCGTTGAAGATCCCCTTTGAAGTGGTTGGACATGGTCTGTTTGGTTGTTTCGATCGGTACGCCCCTTCTGGTCAAATCCGAAGCTGACATGCTGTTTGCTGGTGCGGGCTGTTTCACTCGACTTGTGGGCCACTCTCGCCATATTTGGATCCACTTGAATCCATTGTTGCCAACGTTTGGTGCCTGCACCAAAGCGACTTGCCAAGTGGTATGGATGTGCATGTCTGGCTGTCACAGAATGAGGGAACACTGGGCGGTTCCTTCAAAGGATTCCTTTTTGCGTATCAAAAGGGGCACACTCAAAAATGATGCACCCAGACATCAGCAGCCGTGGTTGTTTGCGCATTCCAGTTCTTTTCGGCCATGAACACCAAAACTGTCCCCGGCCGCGAGAGTAGCCTGAGTCGATGCATGGTTCTGACCGTTGCCAGGAGAATATATTCGGCAATTGTCCTGTAGATAGTGACGAAGCGAGTGTGTGTGTGTGTGTGCGTTTGTTTTCTTTTTACGGAAAGAAGCAAGCCAGACGAGTGCAAGCCTTTGCCATGAGATGCACCCTCCATCTATCCCGATCCGAGGATCCTTTGGAACAACCTCATTGCCGTAAGGATTCGCTACCATACCCCAGACAGGACTTGTATGTGGGGCGGCGTGAGTGAATGCTGCCTCCATGCCTATAGCTTTCAGCTTTGGTTCAAGCCATGGTGAATCCATGAAGCACGCTATCTCAAACCATCCAGAGTGCAAGGTGCTTGCAAGTTCGATCCCATCAGAATCGATGAACTTTATGCTGAAATCTCAATGGGAATCATGTGTGGCTTCCGAGTAAAGCATGCATCCTTACTTTCAGCGCTCATCCCACATGTGTTTGTTTGCATCGCTTGATTTGCGTTCTGCTTTCTGAGCAGCTTTGCAGACTGGATGTCATTCTTGGCTCGGCTTTTGGTTTGACGTTTTCAAGCCTTGGAACATGATCAGCAACAGATCACTTTTTGCGGGGCGCCCAGGATGAAGATCTTAGCAATTGTTGTTCGTCTGAACCATCTTGAGCCATCTTGAAAAGGGGAGCTTCTCTGAAGTCCCTGCCTTCTTCAGAAACCATCTTGACATTTTGGGCAGCCCGAGCTGGCCGAACAAGCTTTGGGCTGCGTCATGAGCGATTGGCACTGGATCAACCTGCAGGGAGCCCCAAGGCGACAGGCTCGAAGTCTCCTTTGGTGGCAGAGAGACATCTTCCAATCAAAGCCAGAAGGGCAAGGAAACAGCCAAGATGCTCGGGAGCTTTGAGTGTAAGCTTTTGTTCCCCAACAGCTGAAAGCTTTGGGGTCTCAGCCCAGATAGGCTCCGGGGTGGTCCGGGGCCCTGAGGTAAGGTTCCACGAGGGTTCACGACGAGGGTTCCACCAGGGTTCCACCGGGTTCCACGAGGTTCTGCGAGGGCTGCGGGGTGGTGCGAGCACTAAAAAGCGCAACGCATGCTGTTGGGGATATCACCTGAGCTTATTTTGTTTTTTTTCATAAATCGGAACCCTGTGGAGGACTTCAGAAAAACCGGTATGCCAGCGAGGCGAATTACATCCAGTCGGTCAATGGGAACTCTTTGGGTTTGGTAAACAACAGTAAGAGTTTGGACTTGTTGTGGCCAATCCACTCACAGGAAGTGAGTAAACCAACCGACAGGGGGCGGCCGGCTTGGCGTGCCGTTGATTCTCCGCTCGCGACGCGCTTCGAATCGGGAAGGATTGATTTGTGCTCGCGGGTTCGTCGGACAGCACGCCAACCGTTTCGTATAATTTATCATGTTAGGAGTTGGGATTTTGTTCTTGGTGTTTGCTACTCTCTTCGCATACCATATGTTTATCAGGAGAGTTTGAACAAAGAGTTGGGGTCCGGTCGCTTCTTTCTTGTGGAACAGACATAAACCCTGTCTATTGTTAGCGGTTAGGCAATGTTGTTCCGCAGGCAGTCCTTGGCCCCTTGGGCCCCTTGGGCCTCTTGGGCTCCTTGGGCCCTGGGATGAAACAACATCTGGCCTTGGGGCAAAGGGATTTTCCTGTCGCTTCCCCACAGTAAGAGTACTTCCGATTGGTACGATCAGAATTCCCCGTGCATGGTCGGTCTTTTTCGGGGAAACCCTTTTTCTGGCGGTTTCAAAGGGAACCGAAGAGGAAAACCGAAGCCGGTTTGGGGTCCAGCCTTAAAAAGGACGAGGAAGGACATGGGACTTTTTCATCTAGGGCTTCCCAGGATTTTATGAAGAAGTCAGCTGAATTCCAACCCGAGACATTCACATTGTCCAAACCTTTAACGACCGTATTCAGGTAACCCTTAGTTGGATTGGATTGGTGGTTTGGATTTGCATTTGAAGCCCTGGTTCTACAGAGGGCTGGGAACCGGCTACGCGCCAACACAACGCGCCAACCACCTAGAGGGAAGCCGACCAAGGCTTTGGAAAGTGGCTCCCCTTGAAATGGGGACATCTTCGGACTATTCTCGCCTTAAAGCCGAAACTTTTCTGGGGAAGGCCCAATCGGATGTTCGACACCCATCTAGGTCCCAGAGGGTTCCCCTACTAAAATAGACTACAGAAAAAAGTTGGTACCCTTAGTCTAACCTCTGAAATCTGGAGGACTTAGCCATCACTTGGCTCGCCGGTCCGTTCGCCCTCAGGCCGGGTGATCGCCATGAGCAGGTGGTGGCAGACTTGGAGGCCTGACGACTTTGCTGTGCGTCGGTGCGTCACGCGAGCGACCAACTTTCTAGTGCTACCTTCACTGTTCAGCGGCACCCTTTTTCCCCTTTTTTTCGGGTGGTGGCTGCCCCACTAAAAATGTTTTTTTCAAGAAGGGTTCCCTTTTTTCCAGGGTCACTGAACAACTGAGTTCCCCATTCATTCCAGGGATCCTTCTTTCCAGGAAACCACCAAACACCCTGATGAAATGGCTGGTGTTTGAAACAAACGATGGTTGGAAAGAATGGGGAATCAACCCTTAGAAACTTGTATGCCGTGGATGGTCGCGAACCCATTCCACACCGTTCAGAAACCCTGGAATGATTCGCTTCCCCTGCAAATGCCAACCAAATTGAATTCCTATGGTTTCCGAGTGGTACAGGATTTCGTCCATCCACGGTGGGTGTCCTTTTGATTGGGACAGACATAGATTGGGTTTCCACTGGTTTAGATTGGTTTAACGCCATCCATTTACAGTAGCAGCAAAACCAAAATCTTTTGTTGCAAAAGGTCACCTATGCTTGCAACGGCCAGCCCAGGTGCCTTTGAAAGGGAAACCTGTAGGTTTGAACCAGAAGCGCCTCAAAATGGACAAGAACAACAGTCGGTTGGCCCACAGATGGTCATGGGTTCGCCTCACGGGGTTGAAATCCTGGTCATGGAAAGCTGCAATGTGTGGGAATAACTGCATCATGCGGCAATAAGCTGTAGGGTTGCAGCCCAACCACAAATGAGCCACAATCAAAACCCGGGTAGATGAAGGTGAGTAAGGGGCAGTCCCAGCCAGAAATAGTGGCAGCCGCCTTCTTAATTCTTTACCTTCCATTTGCCCAATAATATTTTATATTATTCCCTTGTTGGTTTTAAAGGGAATCTATGACTACTGGAAATATTTTCATTTTTTCCAGGGGGCTTAAGCAAATGGAAGTTATATGGTTCTGGGATTACGACCATTTCAATACCGTTTCTTTTACTTGTGACTCAAATAGCTGATGGGATGTCATCAAGAAGCCGCCTCCAAAAGGTTTTCTTCAAGCGGGGTGACTGCCAGAGCTCGGGAACAGCCAAGCAATACCTTCTGCAGACCCCCGATGGAATCCAAACGGCTCCGAGCCCGAAGCCGAGTCTTATGTGGCTGTGGGTCAAAACCAATGGTGCCATTTTGGTGTAGGTGCACCACCCATTTTAGGCTTTATTTTAGTGGGGATTGGGATGTTCACTGGGGTTACGGGATTTTGACCCATGGCCATGTGTGTTCTTCACAGCACCCACGGCTTGCCAGGCTGTTGGTGTTTTGCGGCAGAGCCACGGGCGAGCAAAGTCTTTGGAGTGAACGGAGGGTCCTAAGTCTGGTGAGACGCGTGTTGTCAAGCAGATCCGAGCTCACTCCACGAGCTCTTGAATTTTTGGTCTTTTTGGGTTTGGACCATTTTAGTGGCAACGAACAGTATGGAAACTTAATGTTTGGCCCCAATCCACTCGATCGGACGCGAGCAAGTCATCGATGTCATCACGTCAGCTTTATTTTTCTTTTTTAATAGCGAGCTCGCCGATTCGGGGGGTTAATAACGAGCTCACCATGATAAAGGTCCTGTACTTGGTAAGGCTTGTTCATGCGTATCATTCCAGGATAGCACGCGTCCACCTGGGTCAAATGATCCCAGGCGCTTCCAGCATCAGACCGCGGCAGACCTGGAACAGGCGAAGACGGAGGGCTGTACTGCGTGGGTGTGCAATCATTTGGGTGTGCAATTCAGATAAATATCTACATAAACATAGCAAAATATATATTTATATGGTCACCCCCCCCCCAGGGCCTACCTTTCTACTTTTTGCATGAAAGAGATTTATTTGCGCATATATATATATATATGTGAAGATGTGTA